TGACCCGTGGTCAACTATGTGAGAGTCCAGCAACATAGCCATTACGCTAACTGCTGGTCCCAGGAACCCAGTGTCTTAACCACAGAACCAATACCACCTGCCGGTCCCTGGCCGGCCCCTGTGTGCTCACTGGAGAGAGTCAACCGAGAGAGAAAGTGAGAAAGCACCCCCAAAGGGGGATGGCCACACCACCAACCCTGCTCCTCCATTCCCCCTTCCTTTTGGGATTTTGGGCATGCATGCACACACACCTGGCATGTTTTCCAGGCTTCCAGTTTTGGGACTCAAACTGCACGGCCAGCCAAGTGAGATCAGCCACTTCAACCACTAGGCCACTGACTGGCCCAGCTTTTTTCTTTTTTCCCCCGAAGTTAATTTGGTTATTTCTTCCATGAACGAGAGAGAGAGAGAGACAGAGGCAGCACCCTTAACTGGGTTTCAATACCGTGATCTGCAAGCCTCAGCCAGCCCTTGAGGGCACCCCTGTGCCTGGTGTACTGAGGGAGGCCTCCAGATGCGAACCAGGAGCCCGCCCCGTGGCCAGTCTCGCAGTGTTGCATTTTACCCTGTGCTACCAGGCGGCCCCAATCAATAGCTCTTACATCAATCGACAGGGAAGGGCCTGCTAGGCAGAGGCAGTAACCAGCACAAAGGGGGCTGTAAGGCGGTGGCTGAAGCACAAGGTAAGCAAAGGGCAAGGGCAGGAAGTGGAGCTGGGGCGAGGCCTCAAAGGGCCTTAGGTGCCACCCTCAGGCTCTGGGACTTTGTCCTGTAACAATGGGAGCAAACAGAACCCACTGGTAACCATACAAAGCACTGTGGGCTCAGGCTCTTCCCTACAACCTACAACTGCCTGTCAGCACAGGGAAAATACTGCGGGGAAGACTGGCTTCAGGTCACGGTCAGAGACAGACATCACGTGAGCATGCCACTGCTCCTACACCCTGTGGTGAGGACAGGGGAGGACTTGGGAGACTGCCAGGTGCACCTGCATCTTTAACACATGGCAGGGAGGCAAGAGAGCCTCGAGGCCTGTGGACTCCAGAACAGATCCTGGGCCTTTGCCTGGCTGCTTCTCAGAATGCCCAGCCCTGGCCACAGTGGGGATGCCCTCACCGTGATGTTAACTGGGGACAAGAGACAATGGACTCAAAGACCCGAAGGCTGGGGCCATGCTCAGCCCTGCCAGCCTTGCAGGTGACCCTCATCCCTTTTGGGAATGAGTGGCTGACCTGCAGAACCAGCTCTGGAAGAGAAGATCGGAGACACCAGCATACATCACCTGGTGTAAGAGCAGCCACGGGGACAGGAGCCCAGCACCTGGTCACGGATGCTCAGAGGACCTCAGCAGAAGAGGTGAGGGGACTGTGCATACGGGGTCTGTGTATGTGTGTCCAGGGTGGAAGGACGCGTCTCATAGTTAACTCAGGTGGGCTGACTTTACGTTATGTAATTTTTTAAACTTCTAATGCTTACATTTAAGTGCGTAGCAAGTTGCTTTTTACTACTACTATGGTTCCAGCCATTTCTGGAACGTCTCTCCTGAAACCATTTTAGGAGTTGTGACATATCCTTTTGAATGCTGTTAACGGTGGTGAGTCATCATCCTTGGAAAATAAATTTATTTATTTATTTTTTGGGAGGGGGGTTTGCCATAGGGGATGTGTGCTTACCAGAGAGGCACAGAGAGGAAAAGTGAGAAATTACTCCCCCGGGGGATGGCCACACTGCAATCCCTTTTCCTACATTCTCCTCTTGGGGTTTTGGGCATGCACACACATGTTCCCACATGAATATGATTTTCTTTTCTTTCTTCCTTTCTTCCTTTTTTTTTTTTTGAGAGGTTTTTGCTATGGGGCGCGTGTGCTTGCCGGAAAGACAGAAAGAGACAAAGAGACAGAAAGCGAGAAACCACTCCAAGGGGGGATGGCCACGCCACAATCCCTTCTCCTCCATTCTCCTCTCGGGATGTAGGGCACGTACGCACACACACCCGGTGTGAGTTTAAACCAGCAGGTCCAGGACTCGAACCACGGTCGACTACATGGGAGTCCAGCGACATAGCCATTATGCTAACTGCTGGTCCCACACCCGCATGATTTTCAAACCACTGGGTTTGGGGTTTGACCTGAGGTTGGCCGTGTGGGATCTAGCACCTTAACCACCACACCATCTGCTGGTACTGAATTTGATTCTTAAACATGATGAAAATTAATTCCTGGTCAAGTCTTGGTAATAAAGTAAAAGTAAATTATATATTGTTTGGGGTCAAAAATAACAATAAAATTGACTGTCTTATTCAGCTCTTTTTTTTTTTAATTTTGCCAGAGGGCATGTGCTCCTGTCAGAGAGAGACAGAGAGAGAAAGTGAGAAAGCACCCCTGAAAGGGAGATGGCCATACTGCAATCCCTTCTCCTCCTTTCTTCAGGAATTTTGGGCACACGTGCCCAAGCACCAGGTGTGTTTCTCAAACTGTCCGGTCCAGGACCGAAAGCCTGCTGTCAGCCATGTGGGATCCATGCCATCAGCTGGCTCTTATTCAATTCTTGAATAAGCTCTAATAATAATTCCCAAACAGGAGTTCAAAAGTGTTCCAAAATAGCAACACTATCAATTAAAAGGAAGCCCTCTTGTTACAGGCATCCGGAGGCCCACTTCCCACCCTGGGAGCACCACCTGGCACTGCAGTCCCTCTGCACCCTGGCTGACCCCCCACCCTACTGACACTCACAGAATGCAGGTTGGAGAGAGAAGCAGACTTCCGTGGTGGCGTCTTCTTTGGACTGAAAGTATTCCCAAAGAGAGGCATCTTTGGCCTGATGGTGGAAAGCCCAATGCTCCCTGCTCCTAGGGTCAGAAAAAGTCAAAAAGTCAGGAGGACAAACAGTTGAGGCAGTGACTTTGTGTCATTGTCCTCAAACCATGAAAACATACATTTTTAAAAAATAATTATTAAATTTCATTTATTTGTTCATTTATTTTAATTTGACCAGAGAGAGAAAGTGAGAAAGCAAGCCACCAGCTTCGGGACTCAAACCGTGGTTGGCCGTGTGGGAGTATCCAGCACTTTAACCACCATGCCACCTGCTGGTCCCCAAAACACACATTTTAACAAGTGGCTATTAACAATCCTGGCAATGACAGGTGATGAATGCTCACCGAGTGCCAGGCAGTAGGCTAACACCTTTGCATGCAATATCTCACTTAACTCTCACTCTGCCTATTCCCAGCTCGTCTTCGTCCCCCACGTGTGTGTCAAGGGCGGAGCGGAAGCATCTCAGAGTTACTGCAGGTGGTCTGACTTTACGTTACGTAATTGGGTAGTAGGCTGCTTTGGGAAGTGATCTCTTATTCCAATACTACTGCTGTGGCTCCAGCCATTTCTGGAATATCTCTTCTGAAACCATTTTAGAAGCTGTGACATAGCTTTTCAAATGCCATTCATGGTGATCAATCATCACCCTTGGAGAATGAATTTGAGTCTTAAACATGACTCAAATTAATTCCTACAGGCTTAGGAAGACTAAGTCATGAGTGGGAGCTATTACTTTTTTTTTTTTGGCCAAAGGCGCATGTGCTCAGCGAAGACAGAGAGAGAAAGTTAGGAAAGCACTCCCTCTAGATAGTGGTCACACTGCAACCTCGTCTCCTCTATTTCTCCCTCCTTTTGGGATTTTGGGCATGCATGAACACACGCTCAGTGTGGACTCAAGCTGCTGAGTCCAGGATGAACTGCGGTCAGCCACGGCCATGTTACATCCAGCCGTCTTAACTACCACGCCACCAGCTGGCCCAAAGCTATTATTTCAACCCAGGTCTGTGTAGATCTACAGTTTGTGTTAATAACAGGCAACGGTATAACAAGTTGGCATCACCAGTTTTTTTTTTTTTTTTTTAAGAATTATTTATTTAGGGGCCGGCAGGTGGTGCAGTGGTTAAAGGTACTAGATTCTCATGTGGCAAACTGCAGTTCGAGTCCCAGACCTGGCAGCTTGCTTTCTCACTTTCCCTTTCTATCTCTGTCTGGTCAAATTAAAAATAATAATACATGGAATTAAATTAAAGTAATAAATGGAATTAATTAAATAAGTATTTTTAAAAATTATTTATTGGATTTTTAAAATTTATTTTTGTTATTCAATTTGACCAGAGAGAGACACAGAGAGACAAAGAGGGGCATGAGAAAGCAAGTCGCCAGGTCCAGGACTTGAACCATGGTTGGCCATATGGGAGTCCTGTTTCTTAACCAGCATGCCACCTGCTGGCCCCCGAACACGTTTCTTTTTGTTTTTTTTAAGAGAGACTTTTGCTATAGGGCACATGCGCTTGCCAGAGGGACAGAGAGACAGAGAGTGAGAAATCATCCCCTGGGGGGTGGCCATATTGCAATCTCTTTTCCTCTATTCTCCTCTTGGGAATTTGGACATGGATGCACACATACTTGGTATGAGTTTTAAGCCTCCCTATCTGGGACATGAACCGTGGTTAGCAATGTGGGAGTTCAGCAACGTAACCACTGTGCCATCTGCTGGTCCTGGTATCAACAGCTTTGTGGTTTGGAACAAGGAATGCAATCCCTACGTCTCTTTTTCTCTTATTGCCTGAGGACACGTGCACGAACATGAGAGAGACAGAGGAGACAGCACTGCCCAGTGAAGTGAGGTCACAGCGCGATCCCTTCTCCTCCATTTCTCCAGCCTGTTGGGTTTGGACAGGCAAGCACACATGCCCAGTTTGTTTCCCAAGCTGCTGGGTCCAGGAATTGAACTGTGCAGTTAGCCATGTGGGGTCTGGTTCCTTTAACCAACAGGCGATGGGCCAGGCAGCTTGGAAAACTTACCAGGTATGTGTGTGTCTGCATGTTCAAAATCCTGAAAGGAGAATGGAGAAGGGATTGTGGCATGGCCAACCACCTGACAGGTGCTTTCTCTCTCTCTCTCTCTCTGGCAAGTGCCAATACCCCGCAGAAAAAAATTGAAAAATAAAGATGTAACCCTATCATAAGTCCAGAAGCATCTGGAATATCACTTACTGTGTATCCATAAGGGGACAGTTCCCATGCTGGGCGCACTTCACAGATTTCTCTCATTCCTTAGAGCGACCACGAGAGGTAGGTATTTCCTATCCATGTTTGAGACGAGAAAACTAGGGCATGAAGTTAGCCGATCTTCCCAAGGTGCATAACCATGGCCAGTTGGCTATGCTATATATCAAACTATCCTTGTATTGACATCTTGGGAGGCACGTCATAAAATAAGCATTTTATCCATCATATCAGCAAAAATTAAAACATAAATAATATCCAATGGTGGTGAGAATATTAAAAAGATACTTTCATTCCCTATTGATAGACGCATAGATGCTGTAATTCTTTAAGGGTAATTAGGCAAAATCTAGAAAAATTTAAAATTTGCATACTTTCTGGATAGCAAATCCTAAAACTGTATCTCCAGAAAGACTTGGGCATACTCACACAAACGTTTTCTACTCTTGTCAAAAGTGAAAAATAAGGGGGAACCAGCAGTTAGTGTAATGGCTATGTCACTGGACTCCCACGTAGTCGACCATGGTTCGTGTCCCGGACCCGGTGGCTTAAAACTCACGCCGGGCGTGTGTGCGTGCGTGCCCAAGATCCCGAGAGGAGAATGGAGGAGAAGGGATTGCGGCGTGACCATCCCCCCTGGGGGGTGATTTCTCGCTTTCTGTCTCTATGTCTCTCTCTGTCTGTCTGGCGAGCGCACGCGCCCTACAGTGAAAATCTCTCCAAAAAAAAAAAAAAAAGTGAAAAATAAGAAACAACTCAAAAAATCTACCAGTGGTTGGTGTAGAAACATAAATTGTGGCAGTCTTCTAATGGAACAGTAAGCAACAAGGTTAAGGCACCTGTGTCCCACATGGCCAGCTGTGTGGCTCAAGTCCCAGACCAAATGGCATGTGCCCAAGATCCAGAGAGGAGAATGGAGGAGAAGGGATTGTGGCATGGCCATCCCCTCTTGGAGAGCAATTTCTTACTTTCTCTCTCTCTCTCTCTTCTCTCTCCCTGCCTCTTTGTATGGAACACGTGCACCCTATAGCAAAACAAACAAACAAATTCATACAGTGGGATTGCTGAATATGGATTCACCTGGAAAGACCTCCAACATACTTCAATACTAAGAAAACAAGTTACAGGCCAATAGGTATCATATAATTGTATATGAAAAGACAAAAAGAAAAATAAAAAGCAGTAATATATGTGACTGACCCGAACGAAATGGGCATTTTGTAGATTTAAGAATAGCCAAGGGGCTTGGGACCAGCAGTTGGCGTAATGGCTATGTCGCTGGACTCCCATGTAGTCGACCGCAGTTCGCGTCCCAGACCCAGTGGCTTAAATCTCACGCTGGACGTGTGTGCGTGCGTGCCCGCCCAAGATCCCGAGCGGAGCACGGAGGAGAGGGGATTGTGGCCTGGCCCCCCTGGGGGGTGATATCTCGCTTTCTGTTGCTCTGTCTCTCTCTGTCTGTCTGGTAAGTGCACGTGCCCTATAGCAAAAACCTCTCTAAAAAGAATAGCCAAGGAAGGGGCCAGCAGGTGGCATGGTGGTTAAGGCGCTGGACACTCCCACATGGCTGACCTCAGTTCAAGTCCTGGACCTGGTTTGCTTTCTCACTTTCCCTCTCTCTCTCTGTGTTTGTCCCTCTCTGGTCAAATAAAATGAATGAATAAATAAAATTAAAATAAATAATTCTTGGGGGAAAAAAAAAAGAGCAGCCAAGAGGGCAAGCTCCAACATACAGTGGTGATGTGCTTTGTTCAAGAGAAGCCAGATCCGGGAACCAGCAGTTAGCATAATGGCTATGTTGTTGGACTCCCACGTAGTTGACTGCAGTTCGTGTCTCAAACCTGGTGGCTTAAAACTCACGCCGGGCGCGTGTGGATGCGAGCACTATGCCTGAGCACACCACCTGGTCACCAAAGACCATTCAAGGTCTGGCTCTGCCCCTCAGGTGTTTGCTAAACTTTGGCCAAGTTTCTTTATTTCTCAGAGTTTTAACTGGGGCGCCTCACTCATGAACTCACTAATTCTCATAACCCTGAAGCTGAGAGTTTGTCATCCATATATTTTTAAAAAGATTTTTGCTATAGGGCATGTGCACTTGCCAGAGAGACAGAGAGACAGAGGCAAGAAATCACCCCTCCCTGGGGGGTGGGATGCCCACACCACAGTCCCTTCTCCTCCATTCTCCTCTTGGAGACTTCCCCCAGCCCAGCGTCAGTCTTAAGTCACCGATCCAGGACTCGAAGCACGGTTGACTATATGGGAGTCCAGCAACGCAGTCATTATGCCATCTGTTGGTCCCTTTCATATATATATATATATTTTTTTTTTTTGGAGAGATTTTTGCTACAGGGTACATGCACTTGCCAGAGAGAGAGAGAGAGACAAAGAGATAGAAAGCAAGAAATCACCCCCCAGGGGGGGTGGCCACACTGCAATCCCTTCTCCACTCTCCTCTCGGGATCTTGGGCACCCACGCACATGCGCCTGGTATTAGTTTTAAGCCACCGGGTCTAGGACTTGAACCATGGTCAACTACATGGGAGTTCAGCGACATAGCCATTACGCTAACTGCTGGTCTCTCATCCATATTTTTAAAAAACTATTTAACTTTATTCATTCATTCATTTTTTAAAAAATTTGATTAGAGAGATACACACACACAGAGGGAGAGAGAAGGTGGGAGAGCAAGCCACCAGGTCCAGGACTCAAACCGTGGTCAGCCATGTGGGAGCACCCAGCACCTTAACTTCTCATCCATATTTTAAAGATGACAAAAAGGAAGGGCCTGGACTAGCTGCCTTTTAAGTCAGACCTAATAACCCACCAACAGTTCTGGGGTCTCAGCACGGACCAGGGCCCAGACAAACTGTCCCCTTGGCCCCAGGCCCCTAGTGAAACCCTCTGGGGGAGGCAGGTCAGCTCGGAGGGAGGGAAGGGCGGTCACCTGGCTTCCAGTTGTCATTCTACTGCTCACCCTAAGCGGGACCCCAGCGTCTATCCTCCCCAGCCTTGAGTCTTTATTTGTAATCAGGGATAACGGTAGTGCCTGGCTCACAGGTTGTCACCATGCTTCAGTGTTTAGAAGCTGTGGAGTTTGGTTCTCCCGGGGACCGAAGGAAGCAGATCACGCGTGTCCCCATGCTTGGAGAAAGATACCAACCGCTAACCGCTGTGCAAGCTTTGCCGTTTGCAACCGGGCCTAAAATGCATTACGGTTGTAAACGATTCTAACGAGAACAAGTCTGCGTTAGAGAGGATCCGGTACGTGTCCCCTAAAGAGTTGGGGTCTGCCAAGTACACGTCTCGCAGGTGCTCGCGCCACCATGGCTGCGGGGCTCAGGTAACGGTTGTGAATAAACGTCCACAGGGACGATCTCGCTGGATCACCCTCACAGCCCACTTACGGGGAGGAACCAGCACCCCAGCTCACACTCGAGGAAGCGCTCTCAAAGAGGGGCGGCGACTCGCCGGGGTGAACCGGCCTCTGCCCGCGGCCCCGCGCCCTCCTGCCATCCCACCTGCCCAGGGCACTCGGGTGAACCCGGGCCTCGCTGCCAGGCGACGCTGGGGTCAGAGACGTACCTGACGCGCCCGGGAAGCCAGGGTCCAAGCGCACCCCGAGACCTCCGCAAGGACCGCGGCCGGGTCTCTGTCACCGGCTGAGACAGAAGCTCGCCGGTCCCATCAGCCGCCCACCGTGCGCATGCGCAGCCCCGCCCCGGACGCTGCCACCGAGGAGAGGGGGTGTCCGGCGCGCGGGGTCCCCAAAGCGAGTCTGTGCGAAGCCTCAGGCACTCTCGCAGACTCCTCTCGGCCTGTGAAATGCATTGCACCATGGCGACGCCTCCCGGAGACCTGAACGCGGCCCGGGTTATAGGCCAGGACGTCCTGCGTTCCCCCTCCCCACCAACGCCTTGGCCTGACCCCCCAGCCCGCCGCCGTCACCTTGGTAACAGCGTCTGGCGGAGGTCTCCTGGGCCCGCGACTGTTCCATTGTTATGGGGAAGGTGACAGTGTGACCGCCCTGCGTTGCCTGGAGACCGCCCAGACTCACAGTAGCAAAATGGGCCCGTCCCCGACTGCCCTCCTCCTCTTCCCCGACCGCGAAGCAAAGGGCACGTTCTGGTGGATGTGGGGGGACCCGCGTCGGTGCCCCCAACACTTGGCGGGGTCCCCTGAGCGTCCGTGTTCGTCCGATTTCGCGAACGCTTTCAGGTAAGACGGACGGACAGACGGACGGTGCCCAGCCCTGGCAGCGCGGGCTCAGGGCGGCCCGGCCCCCCGCACTGCTTCCCCTCGGCCTCTGCCCGCGAGAGAAACCGGCTCGCCGACTGCGTCCAGGTCGCAGGCGAGCCAGGGGCAGAGGACAGCGCTCCAGAGCCCCCACGTCCTCATAACTCGTCTTACTGGTTCCATTGATAAATGAAGGAATGCGGCCGGCCGAGGGAGATTCGCTGGCTGCCTGTGGGCGCACCAGGTCACCCCTCCGCTGCGCGAGCGGACCCCGTCTCTGCTCCCAGCGCAGCCGTCTCCCACTACCCCAGCCCGGTAAAGAGAGAGTTCCAACCCAGAACCGAAACCTGCCGGGCGGAAGCCGGACCTGTGCAATGGAAACTTAAAATCTCGTAGCCACAGCTGTAAAAGGATAAGCAATACAAAATAAAAGAGGTGAAATTCATTTGAATAAAGGTTTATTTAACTCCACATGTCCAAAATGTTATCACTTAGGGGCCAGCAGGTGGCGTGGCGGCTGCGGTGGCTGGACCCCACGTAGACCACTGTGAGGTTGGTCTACGGACCCAGTGGCTTCGGGAACACGCTGGGCATGTGCGCTCCCCACCCAGAATCCGAGAGGAGAATGGAGAGGGGATTGTGGCGGGGCCATCCCCTTTAAGGACTGACTTTTCACTTTTCCTAGCTCTCACCTTCTCACTCTCCCTGCCTCTCTCAGGCAAGCACACGTGCCCTATAGCAGCCTAAATATGTATATAATCATTTCAACATATAATCAGTATTTTAAAATGTACACTTCAGTTTTAAAATTAAAATTGGACTTTTTCAATCACACTAGCCAAATTCCACAGGTTCAATTGTCATAGGAGGCTAATGGCTTCTAGGACGTCCGGGTCTAGCCTGCGTGTACTTTTCCAGCCTAGCTCCCTCTGCTTGGGGGCTACTCCTCCCCTTCTCTAGCTCCTGTTCTTCAGTCTCTTGACTCCTTGACTGTTTCCAAATGCACTACTATGTCCATTCTCGGCATTATGTATGCATGCTCTAAACAGTAATGATGGAGGCCAGCAGGTGGCATGGTGGTTGAGGCACTGGGCTCCCACATAGCTGGCTGCAGTTCAAGTCCCAGACCTGGAGGCTTGCTTTCTCACTTTCTCTCTCTCTTTCTCTGGTGAGTGTATATTATCTATAGCAAATTAAATAATAATAATAATAATAAATAAAATTGAATCGCTTGTGACTAGCAGATGACATAATGGTTACTTACGTCACTGGACTCTCCTTGTAGTCGACCACGGTTCGAGTCCTGGACCAGTGGCTTAAACTCATGCCAGGCGCATGTGCGCGTGCGTGCCTGAGATCCTGAGAGGAGAATGGAGGAGAAGGGATTACGGCGTGACCATCCCCCCCCCGGGGGTGATTTCTCACTTTCTGTCTCTCTCTCTCTTTCTCTTTCTGGAGAGCACATGCACCCTATAGCAAAAACCTCTCCAAAACAAAAGTTCCAGAGAATCCATGTGCTTGCCAGAGAGACAGAGAGACAGGGAGAGAGAGTGGAGCATGGTCACGGGGCAATCCCTTTTCCGCTGTTTCTTCATTCTGTAGAGATTTGGGACATGCATGAGTGTGCACCCAGCCTGTTTTCAGACTACTGGGGCTGGGATTTGAATTGCAGTCAACCATGTGGGAGGCAGCTCCCCTAACCACTAGGCTATGGGGCTGGTTCAAAACATGTTAACTTTAAACAGGGACGTTCCGGTTTCGGCCGCCAGACCATGTGCGGCCCAAGGGCAGCAGATCGGCCATCCATCCACTCATCTGCTCCTAGCACATAGCACAGTGCTTGCCACTGGGGAGACGGTCAGTGAAGCTAGCTTTCTCCCTTTCCTTTATTTACTTAATCTCTTGTAAAATTTTTATTTATTTTTTATCTCCCCTTCCTTTTTTCCTCTCCAAATAATGACAGTGAAAATTTATCATGCTACAGAAAATACTTACCCTAGAATGGTAAGATAAACATTTCAGAAGGGAACAGAGTATTTTAAACATTGTCCCATCAGACAGGAGTAATCGCATTAAGGTAAAGCGAAAAGCTTCTTGACAGAGCTGCTCTGAGCCTTGCTTCTCAGAGAACATGTGGTTTTCCAATCATGCCGGGGAGTGGAGAAAGGAAAGTTAAAGCCCTAACGCACACCTGCCTCATCTTTACCCCTTCCCTTTGCCTGGATGGCTACAGACTGGGAGCAGGGAGAGGAACAGTATTGACCTGGGCCAGCCTTTCCCACCATCCAGCTGACTTAGGCCAGCCCAAGATGGAGAGCCTCTTTGGACCAGAAACAGTGTGAGTGATCTAAAAGGAATCAAATATGGGACAGACTAATCCCAGAGGAGTCATTTGCTTAATAAGGAGGGATACAGAGGCCAGTCCTTCCAGTTCAGGACTGAAGGATTAATAGAGAGGTGAAAGCAGAACCCTGGGTTTCCCAGATGAGTCTTGGTCTTAATAGCCTGGACCGATTTGAGAAGGTTTTCCAAAAGGCACTTGACCTGGGCGAGGCGAGTAGAGAGGCTAGCAGGTGCGAAGGCACAGAGACACAGCAGGCCTGGCACGGTTTGGGCCAGGAGGCAGCTCAGCTCAGTGGGTCAGGATACAGGGTGCCTGTCTGAGGAGAAGAGGGGGAGCAGAGGGCCTGAACCGCAGGAGAGTCTGGTGAGAGAGCACCTCAATTAATTTTCCTCCCACACTTGACCTTTGCACTTTTCTCTCCTTCATTACGTGTAAGTTTCTTGAGAGCAGGATCCAAGTCTTCTCTGTTCTAAGCGGGCCGGAACGCTACTCTGGAGATGAGCCCACAATGGAAGTGAGCTCCCGGCCAGCAAGCAAGGACCCAGGAGGGCAGTCCAGCCAGTGTGTTCTAGAGCCAGGGAGGGAGGGTGGTGAGGGGGCCAGTTTTCTGAGAGGGGGCAGAGCCTCTGGTACTTCAGGAGCCGGAGCCCCAGTGCTGAGTCTGATTGCTGAAAAGGGGCCTAGGGCCACCTCATGCAAATCGCTTACTTTACAGTCAGGACTCACACAGGCCAAGAGATTTGACTTGATTTCTCGTTTGGAAAGTGACTTGCTGGGTGATCTGGAGCTCTGGCCTTTTTAGGACCCTCCTCTCCTTATTTTTAACACTAGAACAATTTTCATCATGGGAGCGGCGAGGGGCAGGCACCCGCAGATTAGAAGAAGGAGTACATAAGCCCCGAAATCCTCAGGTAACAGTGCGCTTCTCAGACAAAAGTGTTCCCTCCCCACGTAAGCGTGGGGCGTGTGCCTCGCCGCCAGGCCTGCTCAGCAGGTGAGCAGGTCTTCTCCTCGGGTGTGTCCTAAGGTGGTTCTATGCTCTCTGTGATTATCAGGAGGTGGACTGAACACAGGACAAGATCGGAGTGGGAGATAAGAGGCTTTTCAATGCAGAAACCGTGTTTATTACTTGGCAAGAAACGGAACCATTCGCGAAGTACATCAAGAGGATGGATGCCATCAACCGCACCGCCCTACCAATGATACCTGTGGATGAGCACCTGGCTGTCCCTCTCATCACACAGAGTGCAAGGAAGAGTGCTGTGAGGAAGGAGCTGGAGAGGAAGCCCCCCTGTATCCTCCTGGCAGTGCCGCCTGCACTTGGAGCAAATGACCCAACTTGGCTTGCGCCACAGACCAATCGGCACGCCAATGCTCAGGCCTCTTATTATTATTTATTTCGCTCTAGGGAGCATGTGCTTAATCAGAGAGAGACAGGAAGAGGGAAAGTGAGAAAGCACCCCCCAGGAGGAATGGCCATGCCACAGTCCGTCCTCCTGCACTCTCCTCTCAGAATTTTGGGCACACATGCACACGCGCCCAGCACGTTTTTCTAGCTGTGGAACCTGGGACTCAAACTGCATGGTCAGCCATGTGGGATCCAGCCGCCTTACCCACCATGCCACCAGCTGACCCAGCCCATTCTTTTATCTATTCATTAATTTTTTCAATTATTTAAGTCCTAAAAGCTCTCTCCTCTAAAAGAATTTGAGACTGTGAAGAATTGTTTGACTTGAGATTTGTGTGTGTGTGTTTAACTAGGATAATCAGAAAAAAGCCCCAAAGGAAGAAATACTGAATGTATTTGTGGAAAGAATGGAGAAGAAGGGAGAAACAGCTCATTATTATTCTTTTATTATGCCTTCCAAACAATTGCAGCTTGGATGTTATAGACAGCAGCTCAGGAAGTATGGCCCAGCCCTCTGTCCTTGGACAAGTGAGCCCAATACCCAGATTTTTATTTATTTATTTATGGAGAGGTTTTTCGCTATAGGGCGCGTGCGCTCGCCAGACAGACAGAGAGAGACATAGAGACAGAAAGCGAGAAATCACCCCCCAGGGGGGATGGTCATGCCTCAATCCCTTCTCCTCCATTCTCCTCTCGGGATCTTGGGCACGCATGCACACACACA